GGCCATGGCCAAGCTCCGCACTCCACTACAGCCTCCTGCTATTGTGGTCCCTGGAAGGCAGCTCCCTAACACCCATGGAGGAGACCTGGACAGAGTTCTTGGCTTCTCGGCTTTGGCCTGGCCCAGCCCCACCTGTTGTGGGCATCCGGGGAAGTGAACTGGCTGATGGGAGATCCTTCTGTCTTTGAAGGCAGGAAACAGATAATGAAAAGGACTGGGGGGACCCCCAGGAAGGTCCTGCTCAGCCCTCAGGTTTGGCTCCAACTCCTCACACCCACTCTCCCTTCAGCCCCGAGATCTGGCCCCCTAGACAGCTCTCTGGGTCCACGTCCACCCCTGCCTGCCCACTCCTGTCTCAGACTTGTCAGGAGGCGCCTACAAGAACCACGGCGACTCCCGGCAGAGGGCTCTCCGTCACCTACCAAACTAGATTCACCCTCCAGTTACAAGATAGGCTGTTGGTCCCAATCTCCTGAGTTAAAAGTAAAACTTGCGGGGGGGGGGGGGGGGCAGGACCAGTGCTGTGGCCTAACGGGTAAAGCCACCACCTGTGATGCTAGCATCCCAGATGGGTGCTGGTTGGTGTCCCGGCTGCTCCATTTCCCATCCAGCTCCCTGCTATTATGCCTGAGAAAGCAGCAGAAGATGGCCCAAATGCCTGGGCTCCTGTACCCATGTGGGAGACCCAGATGAAGCTCCTGGCTCCAGCCTGGCTCAGTCTTGGCCATTGTGGCCATTTAGGGAATTAATCAGCCGATGGAAGACCTCTCCCTCTCTCTGACTCCGCCTTTCAAATAACTAAATTATGAAACAGGTGAGTCACAAGGCATTCCAAGGCAGACATCTTCAGGGTCCACGGCGACTGGCCGACATGGTGGGTTTTAAATAGCAAACGCCCAAGCACCCCCACAAAGCCGCAGGAGCACCTGTAAGCAGGCCATTCGTGAGCCTGTTCACACTGCTGAGTCTTAGGAGGCCCCCGCCCCGAGCTGCGGAGGCCAGCAGTGTCTTGCCCAGATCCCGTGTCTTGGGTTCACCTCACACGGGCAGCTCGGGTGGAAGGCAGCCACTCTCACGCTGGGCTGTGCATCAGAGGCACCTGGAGACCTTTGGAAGCTCACCCATCTTGGGAGCTGATGGAATGGGTCTGGACTACCAGACTGCTATTTTTAAAAGCCCTTCTGGGGCCGGCACGGTGGCGTAGCGGGTAAAGCCGCTGCCTGCAGTGCTGGCATCCCGTGGGGCACTGGTTTGAGTCCCAGCTGCTCCACCCGGACAGCTGCTCCGTTGTGGCCTGGGAAAGCAGTAGAAGATGGCCCAAGTGCTTGGGTCCCCGCCACCCATGTGGGAGACCGGAGGGAGTTCCTGACTCCTGACTTCAGCCTGGCCCAGCCTTGCTGTTGAGGGCAGTTGGGGAGGGAACCAGTGGCTGGAAGCTCTCTGTGTCACTCTTTCAAGTTGATTAAACTAAGGAACTTAAAGAAAAGGAAAAAAAAAAAAAAAGCCACCCACTTGCTGACTCTACAAAGGTACTTCCAGCAGCGTGGTCACAGGCCACCCACTAGAATATTCCTCTGCCCAGCTGTCAAGTGGGCACTGGGCAGGAGAGCAGCCATCTCACGAAGGTATAGGAATAGAGAAGGAGGCGGCGGTGGGAGTCAGGCCCGAGGGCAGGCTCCTCCACTCACTCCTCTCCAGCGCCCTCCCGTCTCAGGCCCAAGCCCTCTTGGCCCTGGCCCTGGGCAGCCCTGGAGGTGGAGGTGACGTTGGTGACCCGGCCCTGTCACCAGACCCCACCTCAACCAAGCTCAGGCTGAGGGAAAAGGTTTTCTGGGGGGAGTTTTCCTTCACGGATGCTAAGATGAACATTCTGGTCATTGTTTACGAAATGAGTTATCTGACAGGACTGCAGAGAGAGAGAGAGCGAGCCTGTTTTCACCACCAACTTCCTGGTTTATGGACACCATGTCTTACTTTAGGGCACTATTAACGGAAGCTGAGAAGTTGTGGTTGTGTTGTATCAATCACTCTTTTTCAGCAGCTAAATTTTAGGGACTTTCCCCCCCACACACAGATTTTAAAGGCAGAGTAACAGAGAGAGAGAAAGAGAGAGAGAGATCTTCCATCTGCAGGTTCACTTCCCTCCAGTAGCCCCAACATCTAGGTTTGGGCCAGGCTGAACCAGGATCCTGGAAGTCCATCTGTGTCTCCCATGTGGGTGGCAGGGGCCATCCCCCAATGCCTTCCCAGGTCATGAGCAGGGAGCTGAATCAGAAGTGGAACACGTATCCCAAGTAATGTCTTGACCATCATGCCAAACGTGAGATCCTACCATCTATCTTTCTAAACTAGTCTAATTATAGGGTTTGGCTGGGATTCCTAATCCTGCCCCTGCTGTTTCTCTGGCCTCACCTTGGACCACAGGTCAAAGTTCCAGAAGAGACAATCTGGAATGTGTGTAGTCAAGTGTCTCCATAACAGCTCTTGTTTGCTATGAGCTTAATCTCTGCCAGGCATTGGGTTAAGTGCCTTAAAAAATGTATTGGGGGCCAGCACTGTGGTGTAGTGGGTTAAGCTGTCGCCAGCAAATGCTGGCATCCCATGTGGGCGCCAGTTTGAGTCCCGGCTGCTCCACTTCCGATCCAGCTCCCTGCTAATGTGCCTGGGAGAGCAGCAGAGGACAGTCCAAGTGCTCAGGCCCCAGTACCCACATGGGAGACCCAGAGGAAGCTCCTGGATCCTGGCTTCGGTTTGGTCCAGCCAAAGAACCAGCAGGTGGAAGATCTCTGTCTCTCTCTGTAACTCTGCCTTTCAAATAAAATAAATCTTTAAAAAAAGATTGGAAAGGCAGAGTGACAGAAAGACCAGGACAGACAGACAGACACACACACAACCTTTCCTCCACTAGTTCACTCCCCAAATGGCCACAGCAGTCAGGTCTGGGCCAAGCTGAACACTTCACCCTGGTCTCCCACCTCCGTAGAAGGGGCCCAAGCACCTAAGCCATCTTCCATCCAAGCCGGGACTTCGACTGGCACTCCTATAAGGGATTCTGGGGTGGCAAGCAGTGGCTTAACCCACGGCGCCAGAAAGCCAGCTCCGTGTTAAGTGCCTTTAATCAACTCATTTGCAGTTCCCTGAAGACGGAGGGAGCCAGACCGCTCCCCTGAGTATCATGGCTGCAGAGCCGTGGAACAGCAATGAGACTAATCCTAGAGCTTATGGGCCTGGGTGGGGCAGGGTATTGCCCAGGAAATGATAGCAAAGGTTAGGCCAGGGACCAGCCTTCACCACCACCCCCCTGTGGCTGGGAGGGTGGCATCCAACCAGATGGCCCCAGCGCTGTTACCATGGAGCCCTCAGTTTGTTTCTGGATCACCTACTCCAGCCTTCCTGCTCCACTACAGGAAGCTGTCCTGGCCCCCGGCCCCACCCCAGGGCACGCTGGGGGCTCTGTGAGCAAGCACAGGAACAGGCAGAGGTTTCCAAAGAGAGCACCTGATAAGGCGGCTCCATCACCCACGTGTGGCCAGTCTTTCCCTGCTCGTCCAGGGGTCCACCAGGATGGAGGCCAAGAACTCGGTGTGGGGGGCGTCTGACCAACTGCAGCCCCCACCTCCAAGAGCTCACGCCGGAGTGACAGCTCTCAAGTTCCTGGGGAGCACAGCCTCGGGGGCCAAGGGAGCTTCCCCATTTCTCTTGTTGAAAACGTCTGTCCTTGGGGCCGGCGCTGTGGCGCAGTGGGTTAAAGCCCTGGCCATATGGATGCTGGTTCAAGTCCCGGCTGCTCCTCTTCCAAGCCAGCTGTCTGCTATGGCCTGGGAAAGCAGTGGAAGATGGCCCAAGCCCTTGGGCCCCTGCACCCGCGTGGGAGACCTGGAAGAAGCTCCTGGCTCCTGGCTTTGGCCAGGCCCTTATCTGAGGGTCAGAGACACAGAGAAACAAGAGAGTGCACTCCCACCTGCGGGGCCGCTCCCCAAACGCCAGCAAAGGCGCAGGCTGAGTGTGCGTTAGCAGGAAGCTGGAGTCAGAGCGGAGCCAGAACTCAGTACAAGGCACTTAGAGTGAGATGCAGGAATCACAATGGGGCTCAGCTTCCTGTTTCTGGGCCTCACCCCGCCCACCCCTGCTTGCCCACCCGACTCCATCGGCGTCTGGAAACTAGGCCTAGAGTGAGGTCACTCTCCAGAGCCCAGCAAGGCCCGCAGCTGGCACGTGGCAGCTGCAAAACGCCAACACTCGGCGGAGTTGAGAAGTCGAAGGGGAGACAAAGTCACATCCTAGGAGCCCAAGGGGACAGGCCGGAGCCCAGGTCCCTGGGAGGAGGGGCAGGGCAGTCTCGCAAGGGCCAGCCTAGCTCTGACTTGGGCCCCTGAAGGGAGCGCGGCCTGCGACGGGGAGCGGGTGCCGGCGAGTTGATCTAACCCCAGTACGAAAAGCAAAAGCTCCCAGGGCAAGGCCTCCGCCACCAGCCTCCCCTTCTCATCTCAAGGTCTTACCTGCCCCAGCAGACACAGGCCCGAGGGAGCAGGCCAGAAAGCCGGGCAGGGCTGCCGAGGGCCAGGGACTCACCGCTGCGTGGGGCTGGGGCACCAGGACCAGGTGGCTCCTTCCCGAAGCGCGTCTCGCTGCAACTCACTCTCTTCTGGCTACCCTCTGCCCGGGAAACTCCCTCACCCAGCCCTGGGGATCACTTCCCAGACGGCCGTGGGCGGGGCCGGAGGCGGGGCCCGGGGATTTAAAGAGCCTCGGCAACCCGCGGTCACTTCCTCTCTGGGCTGTCGCTGGAGGTGGAGGGGGGGTCCCAGCTCAACGGGCAGCGGGCAGCGGGCAGCGCTGGCCTGAACCCAGCAGGGGTCAGAGGGCTCGAGATGGGGGAGGCGGGGGGTGGGGTGGGGAGCTGGCTGAGTTGGCTTCTGCTCCATCCGGCTTTAGTTGTCCAATCTGAGCGAACGCAGGTCTGCCTCTCTGCTCAAGTGTTTAGGCTCCGGCTGCGCCCCTTCTTTAACACTGCATCTTTTATTTTAGTTTTAGCAAATTCAGCTCGATGGTCTGCACGCGCACACACACACACACATGCACACACACACGTGCACATGCACACACACACATGCACACACACACGCACACACATACACACACACCGCTTTCCTGCAGGTGCTGCGCTGGGACCCTGGAGTCTCTCTCTTGCCAAGTTTCCCAGCCTCCAGCAGCACAGACGCTGGACACCCTGGAAGCTGCGCGCCTCGCAGTCAGTACTTCCGCTGCCGGGGGAAGAGGCTACTGGCCGGGGCCCGGGGCGGGGGGCTGGCGGGGCCGGGGCCCTCCGAGTCCAGGCTGAAGAGGTCCCTGCCCGTGCGCAGGATCTGCTCCTCCAGCTTCTTGTGTCGCTTCATGTCGGAGAGGACCTTGTCCAGGCGGGCCTCCCGCTTCTGGCTCCGGGCTGAGCTTCCTGGAGCGCAGGAAGGTAAGAGGTGTGGAAGGGGTTGAGGCAATGTGCACCACGCCCGCCTGGATCTTACTCATCCCTCCGGGAGCTTGTTAGAGGTAGACCTAGCACCTAGCGGCTCCCAGGCCCAGACAAGGACATGCCAGGGAGGGGGGAGGGCAAGTGCAAAGGCCCTGGGGCCATAACAAAGGCGGTCTGAGCATAGGGGGGCTCTTCTCTTCCCATGGATGGAATCTTCTGGAGGATTCTGAGTCTAGAAATGACATGACTTATGTTTTCAAAGGACTGTTTTGATTGCTGAGATGGGAAACAGGGAGGCGGCAAGTCGCCAGGCGAGCTGGTGGGCCAGAGAGGGCGTGGTGTTGCAGGTGAAGGGCAGAGCAGAGGGAAGTGAGAACGTGGTGGGGGCAGAGCTCCGAAGGGCGCTGGGTGTTGGCTCGAAGGTTTGGGTTCAGGGTGACTGCTGGGGTAAATTCTAGGAAGGCACGTGGGGTGGGAAATTAGGTCAACTCGCTCCCTCCCGCCTCTTGAAGGGAACCACCTCTGGCGTCCCTGGGAGCTGAGACCTCCCCACCCGGTTCCTTCTTGTTTGTACCTGGTGTGCGTCTCCGGTCGATCAGGGAGTCCTTTGGTGTCATCGGTTCATCATCAAAATCGAATTCCGTGGGCATGTGTGGTCTGGGAGAGGCAGACAGAGAGTGAGGGGCGGCCCTCCCACCCCACAGACCTGCTTCTCCTCTCCTGAGGCGGTCCCGCCGCCCCCCACCCCAGCCCCCGCTGGAATCCCGGGAGTGAGGGTGATGGGCGTGTCCTCACTTCTCCTCCTCCTCTTCTTTGGCCTCCGGCTCTTCATCGGACCGCTCCTCTTCACTCTGGGCCTCCGGAGTGGGCGGCCGGCGGGGCAGGATCTCGGCTTGCAGTTCCAGGGTGCCGTGGGCGGCCAGCAGCTCGTAGAGCCGCTGGATTTCCGCGGGCGGGGGCATCCAGGCCTGCCCGGCCGCTGGCATCTCCACCTCCTCGTCGCTGCAGGCCACGCACCAGTCCTCGGGGTCGTCCTCCGTAGCCTCTTCCCCAGCGGCGCCGGGGGCGTCTCCCTGCGCGTCCTCGGCCCCGGAGCCCTCACGCTCGGCCTCCTCCCGGCCTCCCTCCCCCTCTTCCTCGGCCTTACCGGCCGAGGCGGAGGAGCCTCCGCTGTCCTCCACGGCCAGAGCCTGGAGGCCGGAGGTCACTTCTCCTTCTTCCGACAGAGGTGCCGCCGTGGTGGCCGCAGTGTCTGCATGACCCCGCGCGAGGGACATAGGCCACTCGGGAATGGCCCCGGCGGCGATCGTAGCCGAAGGCCGGAGGCCGAAGCCGGGGTCCCGCCCCCTGCCCAGCGGGGGCTCCCTGGGGGCTTAGGGAGTGTCTCCGACCGATCTGGGTCCCACTGCGTCTCCACGGCCAAGGGGGCCGGTCCCCAGGAGGGGGCGCTCAGTCCCCTCCAAGGACCCCGCCCCGTGGATCAATGGGAGGTCTCGGAGTCCGATGTTTCCGGGGACCCGCAGACACCACTTTCCGAGCCGCAGAGGGGAGCGGTCCAGGCTTCTCGCCTTTCCACCGCCCCTCTCCACAGCTGTACCCGGCGCCCTCTCCCCAGATCTCACAGTTCCGGGCCGCGTCAAAGGAGCCGCCGCACGCACCTGGAGCTAAGACCCGCCTCCCGGGCTGCGCAGGGGCACAGGACGCAGGCGCACAGAAATGGCGCGGGAGGCTCCGCTCTAGTAAAAGCTACTTGGAAGAGGAAAGTAGGGGGAAAGCTTGCACATGCGTAGACAGGCGCCCGGGCGGTAACAGGCTTCGGCCCACAGTAAAGATGGCCGCCAGAATGGCGCATGCGTACGCCGCCGACCTCCATAGGCTCTGCCCGTGAGGAGGCGGCACCGCGGGCCGGGCGGGACCGACGCACGAACCGAGACTGGAGGCGAGTCTCATGCAGTCTCCCTTTATTGGTGTTTCAGACTCATGCAGCATCCAGCATACAAAAAGGGAGAATCAATTTCTTTCTCTCTCTCTCTTTTTTTTTTTTTTTTTTACCAACTTTAGTTTTATCCCCCCAGACTTAGACCTTTTTTTTTTTCTTTTTTAAAGAAAACAAAAACCCCGCCAACTCCGAACCACAGGGCGGCTGGGTCCTCGGCGGGTTCCCGCGTGCAGCAAACCTCCCTGGTCCTCAGAAAACAGCCCCGCCCGCCCTCGCTCCCTGCAGCTCGGTGCTTTGGTCCCAGTTTTTTGGATTCTTTCTTTCCGTACAAAGCCTCCAGGAGGGAAACCCGTTGACCCGGGGTGCACGGCCCGGGCGCGGCGCCCCTCCCTCCCGAGAGTTCAGGACCGGAGCGCGCCGCGCCACCCTTGCTCGGGTCCCCAAGGGGCAGCCGGGTCACCGCAGTCTGCGACCCGCGAAGGGGGCAGGGCGGGCCCAGCAGAGAACAGTCAGAGCCCCGGGGGCTGGGGACCCCTTCCCCGACACCACTCCCCTCCCCCAGTCTGCTCTAAGAGCTGGGGTTCTGCAGAATAAAGGGGGTGGCGAGGAGGAGGCTGGGAGAGGAAAGCGGTGGGCGATGTGCAAAGGGAAGGGGGGATGATTTAAAAGAAAATAAAAAGTTGGGTAGAAATGAATGGGGAAGACGTCCAGAAAGCGAGGAGAGAAGCCAGGGCGAGGTGCCGGGTTGAGGTTCAGATTTCTGGGGGGCTAGGGGACGCAGAGCTGGGACATGGTCAAGGTTTCCATTAGTGCAGGAGAGGCAGAGGTGTGGGGAGAAGGGAGGCCTACGGTTGGCAGAGCCTGGCAGGACGCAGGAGCAGGAGAGAAGCTGTAAACAAGGCCGCTCAGGCTCCCTTGGTCCCTAGGGGTGGGGGGCCAGGGCCATCGACTGGACTCCCCCCAGGGGAGGGATGGACCCAAGGCAGCTCCCAACAGGAAGAAAAGTCGGAGCGCGGGGCAGAGCCCCTCACTTATACACTGCGGGAGAGGAGGAGGGAGGGGACAGGGGGAGACAAAGTAGGGAGGGCAGACAGGAGAGAGCAGGGGCGGGGTTAGTAACGCCGCCGCCCCTGGACCACCCTCCCGCTCCTCCCCTGCCTGGCCCCGAGCTCCACTCACCGCCCAGGTTGATGACGCAGGAGGCGATGATGATGAGGACACCGCCCACCAGCGCCACGACGCTTAAGAGCTTGGCCACGCGACCCAGACGCTGGGCCCCGTCCACATCCCCCTGCTGCAGGCTGTTCCGGGACTGGGGTTAGGGTGCAGGGGTGTAGGTGCCGTGGCCCGGGGTCCGTCGGCAGGAGGGAAAAGCAGCCAGCCCGGCAGGGATCATCCCACCGGGTCCAGGGAGGAGGGGTTGGAGAGGCAGGGGAAGAGGTCAGCAGGTGTTTAACCCCTGGCTCCGGACCCCTCCCACCCAGAGGGGCAGGGCACCAGCGGGTCCCGGGTTAACTGGGGAAGTAGGATCCATGCAGAGAGGGGAGGGAAGGCGTGGCTGCTCCCGGGGCTCCCGTCCCAGCCCCAGTGCTGGCGGGAAGCTGACAGCTGCAGCGGGCCTGGGCCAGGGTCCCCAGGGGCTCACCATGACGGCGTAGGCGAAGGCCACGATGTTGACAGGCCACATGGGGCAGAAGCAGGACAGGATAGCCAGGATGATGTAGTCCCGAGGTTTCTGGGAGCCTTCCCCGCCCTCCACCCCAGGCCCGGCCAGCTGGGAGCTGGGGTGGCGGCTCAGGCTCCCTCGGGGAGAGCCCGGGTGCCCGCTGTGCGCCTTCCCTTTTCGGTCCTCCTCAACCAGCTGCTGGAGCACACGAGGGGGAGCCCCATTGGCTGGGGGGGTTTTGGTCGAGGGTGGTGAGTGAGGCTGGGGGGCTGGGCCCTCCTCCCCATCACCAGCCTGCAGCGGGACCACTGCCCCATTTTCTTGCTTTTGCTCTGGGCTCTCGGTCAGGACCTCAGGGGCGGGGTCCTCCTGGGCAGGGGCCTCTGGCTGGCTGGGGGCGGGCTGGGCAGCCGGCTGGGGGTCTGGCTGAGCGTCTGGCTGGGGCTGTGACTGGAGTTCCGGCTCTGCGGCTGGCTCAGGCGGGGCTGCAGGCTCCAGCTTGGACCCCTGGTCTGCAGGGGCCTCTTTGTTCACTTCGGGTTTGGACACTGGCTCTTGGCATGTTTCTTTGGGGCTGGAGTTGGCCTTTGAGTCCCCTCCTGGGCTCAAACTGAGGTCTGTGGCCAGGGCTGTCGCTGGGGCCTCGGCGGGGGTCTCTGAGGTTTCCGGAGCCGGCTCAGCCTTGGGCCCTGAGTCCACAGGGGCTGCGGTGCTGTCTGGGTCTGCCTGCCCAGCTTCTGGCTGGTCAGGGACCCCTGCTGGGTGGGTTTCAGTAGAGCCAGGCCCTCCTCCCTGGGTCTCGGGACTCTTCTCCACCCCATTCATCTCAGAGACCTCAGAGCTGCTGGCTGCCATCTTAGGAGAGAGGGCAGAGGGTCCCTGTGGGGAGGATGGACAGTGGAGAAAAGCAAATCCTGGAGGAGGAAGAGACAGACAGGCTTGGCGTGAGAGGGGAACAGGAGCTCTCAGCACTGCAGCCCCAAGAGAGCCATGCTCCTGTCCCTGGGCCAGCCCTGTGCTGCCCCTAGGGAGAGCAAGGGGAGTTGGGGTTTCCTTTGCCTTGGGGTGGGACATCCCTGGGGAAGGGGTGCCTTACTCAAGTCTGCTTCTAGAGCCCCTGGGGACATCAACCCTTTTATAAACAGGACGGTGCCCCCCCCGCCCGGTCTCCGCCTGGGTCCACCGACTCGCATGCCCAGCACCCCCAAATCAGCCAGCTGTCCAGGCACCTGGACGCTCCGACAGGCAGACGGCAGAGGAGCCGACACACACTCCACTGCCTCGGCATCCTCCCCTCCCCGGGCGCCCAGGCGGTGCTGGTTTTCCTGCTGCGCGTTTCAGGCTGCGACGCCCCCGCCCCGCCCTGGGGTGCCTAGATTACCTCCTCACAACCCCTTCCTGGCCTCTCTCCTAGGGACTCCCTCGCCCTCGGTGGGCCGACACCTCCTCCCCCGATGGCGCGGCGCGCCCGGCATCGCCGGACCAGCCCGCCAGGCACCCGCATTCCCGTGCAAGCTGCCCGGCGCCGGCCGTCTGTCGGTCCACTCCTACCCCGCAGCCTCAGTTCTGTCCCCGGCTCACCTCGACGCCGGCCTCCGGGCAGCTCCCGCCGCGCCGCTGCCGCCGTTGCAGCAGCCGCAGCCCGGGAGGGAGCAAGTCAGCGAGCGAGGGAGGGAGGCGACGGGTCTCCCCTCCTCTCTCCTCCCGTTCGCTCGTCCCCTCTCCTCCGGTCCCCTCCCCTACGCTCCAGTGCCGCCGCGCGCCGCCCCCGCCCCTCGCACGCCTCCGGCCCCTCCCGGCCAGCCCAAGGGAGCTCTCGTGCCCGGCCCCGCGTTACCAGGCAACCGGCCCGGGGACCACTCAAGCCCCCTCCCACGCGCGCCTCCCGGAGGGGCGCCCCCTTCCCTTCCTAAGTCCCCGGCCCCTCCCGCTAACGGTCACCAGGGGTCCTGGCCGTGACCGGGTTGGGGGAAACGGAGAAGGGTCTTTGAGGAGACCGGGACCTAAGAGACTAGCAGGGCCGGCTGGGGGCAGCCCGAGAGCTGGAAGAGGGCATGGAAGATGGGGCAGAGGAACTGGTGCAGAGCAGCAGGGTGGGGTTTCAAGAGCAGAGAGCCTGCAGGGCTTCAGACCCCCGAGGCGGCAGCAGCAGAGACGGGTATTGGAAGGCTCAGGATGGGACCCTGGACGGGAAGACTCAAGTCCGGGAAGAGGAATTCCAAGGGGCAAGGCTGGGCCGCAGGAGCCGCCGAGTGCATGTTGAGCTGGACCTCACCGCTCCCAGTCCTCAGGCTCAAGCCGCCCGCAGCCGCTCCGCAGCTCCGCCACCCACCAGCGCTTTCCAAGGCCCTGAGGGTGCGCAGGTACTGGGATGGGGTCAGAGCGGCTGGCAGCGGGCCCTGCGGACTTTCTAACCTGGGCTGCTCCAAGTCTCCAGACTATTCTGGGCCTGCCCAGGTTGGGGACTCCCCAGAGACCCGGGAGTCCCAGAACTCGCCCGCGCCCCACCAGGAATCCGTGCTGCAGCTGGGAGAGGAGCTGGAACCCCAGCACCACCCGGGGCCAAGCAGGGCTGCCCAATGATGAAGAGACCCCTTGGGAGTGGGGAAAACTCATTCACCCCAGAGACAGAGACAGGTTTTTATTTAAAATTTATTATAATGGGGTCCGCGCAAAAGGAGGTGGAGGGCGGGGAGCATGCAGGGGACACAGGAACACGATGACACGGCCAGGGCCATAGCTCTGTCGTGGGGAAAAGGGATGAAGAGACCAGGGCTGGAGCTGGGGTGGAGAGGGAAGGGGGAGACACTGTGGCTGCATTCTCCCCGCCCCCGGAAGCACCTCTAGTCCCCGGATCCTCTCACCCTGGCCCCTAGGACTCCATCTCGCTCTGCCTCTGGCCCTAGCAGCTCCCTCTTTTGCTCCCCTGGCCTCCCCGCCCCCCGCCCCCGCCAGATTCCCAAGTAGGTACAACCTCTGCCTTTCCTGCGTCTGCCCTCAAATCTCACCTTCCCTCCCCAGGACAGAACTGCTTGATTCTCTCCTTCCTCTCCTCCCTCCCCCTGAAGAAACAAAAAAGAAAGAAAAGAAACAAAAAAAGCACCAGCTCCCCGGGAGGGGCAGCAGACAGAAGTGGGGGAGAGGACCGGAAGGAGGAGAGCAGGGCCAGGAGGGCCAGGAGGGGAGAGGCTCACACAGCCCTGGGAGGGCAGGGCAGGGCAGGGCAGAGGGGAGAGGGGCCGGGCAGTGGCTGCTCCTGTCCTCTGCCGTCCCCGCCCACTGTCCAGGGGACTTCAACACAACCAAGGGGACAGGTGTGTGTAGGGTCATCTCTGACAGGGAGGAGAGAGGAGCAGGAGAAACGAGTCGTGAAAACCTAGCCGACCCCCTAAGACGTGTCTTCCTCCTTTCCTTCCGGTGGGGAAGTAGTGAGGTGTTGGTGGGGAGAGGGGGGAGAGGAGGCTGTACCAAGGGACAAGCCTCCACTCTCCCCTCCCGCCCACCAACCTGGAGCTCACCAGGGCTGGGAGGGAAGTGGCTGAGAGCTCACGGGCACCCCCTCGGCCCCCGAGAGGGAGCCCACAGCTGTGGGGGGGGCCGCCACTGCCGCCGCCGCTGCCGCCGCCGCCGCTGCTGCCGCCGCCATTGGACAAACCTCGCCGGTACCTGCACAGCGAGAAACACAAGATCACAGCGCAACCTGAATGGCAAGAGCCTTGCCCCGTCCCCAGACTGCTTCCCGGGGACACAGCCGTTGCTGACTTCCTGTCTGCTTCCCAGGGCCCTTGGCCTGCGTCCTCAGGCACACACAGCAGTTCTCCTGAGAGGCCCGTGGAAAGCTCCTGAGCTGAGGGCAGACGGGGCATCCCTGGCCTGCCTGAGATCCCCTACTGGGCCCTTGGAGCCCCCTTTGCCCACCCTCCCATCCCACCCCCCCCAGCCATGCCCCACGCCTTGCCTGGTGGGTGCAGGGTCCCCCTCAGCAGGTGGGCTGTGGCTGGGGGGCGTCTCCCAGGACAGGGGGGGCGGCCCCCCCCAGGTGGGTCTGCATGTGGCCGGCCAGCTGGGCAGGGGTCTTGCAGTGCACGCTGCACAGCTTGCACAGGATGCGGTCGGCCCGCGGGGCCTGGAGCCCGTGGTCCTTCACCGCGTGGATGCGCAGGTATGCTGCCGTGGTGAAGCCTATGGGGGGGGGGGATTGGGATGGGGGTTGGGGTCAGCCAGGCGGAGACCCCAGAGACGGGGCTGTTCTCCCAGGCTGGGGGCGCCCTCAGGTGGCCCTGTCCTCCTCCCACCGCTTCCTCGATAGCCTGGGGCCAACTACGCTGCAGGTGCTGGGGGGGGGGGCTCAGCCCCGCCCCGGCTAGGGGCCCTGTGGAGTGGAGCTCATCCTCCGCAGCGGGGAGCGGTCCCTAGCTACTTGAAGGGTGACCCTCAGCAGAGACGGCTGTGTCCCCTCCCTCCAGTGCCCTCTAGTCTCAGCCCCGGCACTCGGCAACAAGTGAGCAGGGCGCAGCCTTGTTCACCCCCTGCCCTGCCCCAGGCCCTCCACCTGCCCCAGGCGCTGGAGACAAGAACTTGTGGCTACACAGCTGAAACCTCGCCTTCTGACCCCTGACCTCGACTGCTCTTTGCCAAAGCAGCCAGGTGTCCTGCTCCCCTCCCCCCTCAGAGGTGAAAACTCTCTGGCAGGTCGGCTCCTCCAGCCACAACTTCTCAGAACTTAACGGTGCTCAGTGGTCCCCAGAGCTGCTCCGTGCGCTCCCTCGAGGGCTCTAAGGCCACAAGCTCTCGGCTACAGCACCTAGGCCCCGCGGCGAGGGAGGGCTCTGCTCCGTGCCCCCGGCCCCGCACATACCTTTGTTGCAGAGCTCGCAGACGTGGTGCGGGCCCTGGCTGTGCACCTTCATGTGGTCCGAGATGTACGCCGAGCTCAGCATCTTGCCGCACACGTGACACGGCACCTTCTCCTCGTGTCGCACTGTGTGCGCCCGCAGCCGGTCCTTCGTAGCGAAAGCTGCCTCACATTTCTGGGGAGGGGGGAGGGGCGTGGGGGGTGTCACAGGAGAGTTAAAGCTTTGGGGAGTGGGGAGCGGGGAGTAAGAGGTTAAAGGGATCAGAGCCTTGGGGGTCTTTGATCTGTAGGAAATGGGAGTGAGATGCCGAGGCCTTGAAGGAGGAATGAGAAAATGGAGTGAAAAGGCAAAAAGAAGAGAGAGAAAAAGGGGGTCTGAGAGGCTGAACTCAGACAGCTACAATGAGGATCAAAATCGTGAAAACCAGGCCGGGAGCAGGCGGGCTTCCTACCTCACACTTGAAGGGCCGCTCTGTCGAGTGCACTTGTCTGACGTGACTGTTGAGGTGATCCGGCCTGGGGACACGGTCGGGGCTGGGGTTAGGGCCGAGGACGCGCGCCCCCACCTGCCTGCCCGCTGCCCCGCCGCCCGCAGGCTTCCAGCCTCTTTCCCCCAGCCCCGGGCTCCACCACCCTGCAGCACCAGGAAATCCCTCCCCTCGACCCCGGCTGCTTCCTCCTCCTCCTCCTCCACCCACAAGAGGCTTTCCCTCAGCCCTTGGGCCCACCCCCTTCGGCAAAGGCCCACCCCCTGCTCGCTGGTAACCAGGAGAGGTCCCCTCCCTCCCTCCCTCCCTCTCTCCCTCCCCGGGGCCCGCGGCGGCCGAGGCCCCTGCACACCGGGAGAAGCTCTTGCCACAGTGGGAGCAGTTGTAGGGCTTGTGCACAGCGCCGTCATGTGAGCGCACGTGGTAGCTCATGCGGTCCTTGCGCTTGAAGCGCTGCTGGCACACCGGGCACTGGTAGGGCTTCTCGTCCGAGTGCGACAGCTTGTGCCGGTTCAGGTGGTAGACGTCGCGGAAGGCCTTGCCGCACATCTCGCAGGCGTGGTTCTTCCGGATGCGCTTCCCCGAGGCGGTCGTGGTGACCACGCCGCCGGCGGCCACGGCGGCCGCGCCGCCACCGGCGCCCGCTTCGCCGCCGCCGCCGCCGGCTCCGCTCAGCTGGGGCACGCTCAGGAGGCTCAGGGGCACCATGGTGGGCATCTTCATAGCACCCGAGGGGACCCGGCCGGCCTTGGCTCCCGTGTGGATGGCTTCGTGCCTCCGCAGGTTGTAGCCGTTCTTGAACTCCTTGGCGCACAGGGCGCAGATGTAGGGCCCCTTGCTCTTTGTCTTCTTCTCCAAGGCAGACGCGACGGGGGCCACGGCGACCGTCGAGGTCGGGGCGACGACGGCGGTGGCCGCGGCGGCGGCGGCGATGGTGGCGGCCGAGGCGGGGGGCGCGGCCTCGGCGGCGGGCGCCGACACGGGCGGGGGCGGCGGCGGGGGCGCCGGGGGCTGCTTCAGGGCCGCTGTGTCCACAGTGGACGCGGCGGCAGGGGCCGGGGGCGCCGTCACCACGGCGGCGGCGGCAGCGGCGGCGGCGGCCGCAGCAGCCGCGGCGGACTCTTGGGCGGCGGCGAGGACCGGGAGCAAGTCCACCTGGAGGGGCTCGGCCGCCGGGGCCTGCGGCGTCGGGGGGGGCGCCGGCGCGGCCTGCAGAGACAAGGCGCCGTGTGGGCCGCGGCCGCGGGTCGGCGCCCTCCCGGCCCGCCGCGGCCAGCCCGCCACGGCCGGCCCCTACTCACCTGGAATGGACTCTGGGCGCAGCCCTGGGAGGCAAAGAAGCGGGACTGGAGCTCAGCCCCGACCTGCAGGGGGTTCTGGGCGTGACCCTGAGGTGGCGGGAAGGAGTTCATGAGGCCGCCCACCCCCCGGGAGTCCAGGCCCAGCACGGGGAAGGGGGGGGCGAGCAGCGTGCAAGGGAACACGGGGAACATGGCCTCGGCCACGGCGGGGCCCCTGGGGCTCAGCGGGGGCCGGGGGCGCGGGCCGCGCGGGGCCCGGGCTCGGGGCGCCGCCCCCGGCCGGCCGCGCTGGGCCGCGCCGAACGCATGGCCCGCGGGCCGCCCCGCCGCCCGCGCACCCCGGCCGGCGGGAGGGAGGGAAGGAGGGCGCCTTGCGGGCCGCGGAGCGCGGCGGCGGCGGCGGCGGCGACGCCCCCTGGGTGGGGGCGGGAGGCCCCGCGGGGCCGGGGCCGGGGGCGGGGGCCCGGGCGGCGGTGGCGGCGGCGGCGGCGGCGGCGGCGGCGGTTGGAGCCTGGCGGGGCGGGGTGGGGGGAGCGAGGGAGCAGCCTCGGCCCCCGCCGCGCGCGCGCCCAGCCGGCGCCTCGGGGAGGGCGGGGGAGGGCGCGAGGGAGGGAGGGGGACAGCTGCGCGCGCACCGGGCGCGCGGAGGGGGGGTGGGACGGGAGGGAGGGCGGGCAGGAGGGGGTGTGGGAAGGGGGGTGGGGGCGGGGGGGAGGGGGTTGTTACCTGGAAGATGAAGCTGCTCCAGTTGCTGGGATCCATGGCGGAGGGAGGGAGGGAGGTGGCTCGCGCTCGCCCCGGGGCGGGAGGAGGAGGCGGCGGCGGTGGGGGAGGGGGGAGCCCGGGGAGGAGGCGCGCGGGGCGGGGGGAGGAGGAGGAGGTGGGGGGAGCGGAGCACACTGCGCGCGGGGCGGGCGGGCGGGGGGCGCGAGGACACACAAGAGGCTGGAGCGGGCGCGAGCGCGCGCGCGCGGGGCCGGCGGGAGGGGGAGGGACGGGAGGGCCTGTGGCGGGCGGAGGGACGAGGGAGCCACCCAGCAGCCCGAGTCGCCCCGAGCGCGAGACCCTTGAGACGGCCGCTGATTGGCTGACGGCGGCGCAGGTGGTGGGCGCGCGGGAGACGGGGCGGCTTCTCTTCTGCTCCCCCCCTTGCAACGATTCCTCCCCCCTCCCTCCCTCCGCCGGCAGCCGTTATTTCGCGCGCACGCGCACAATACCGCTGTCGTTGCTGAGCGGGAGAACAGGGGAGCGCGCGCCGGGGGTGCGGAGGGGGCGGGGCTAAGCCCGGCGCGCGCGCCCGCCTAACGGTCGGCGGCCCCGGCTTTCGCGTCAGCTTTTTGTTTCCTTTCGGCCGCCGTCTTTTCCCCTCCCCATTCCAGAGGTTTATTTACAATCCGGCGCTGGGTCGTGGCTCCCCGAAGATGGCGCCCGGAGGTTGCCCGCGGAGCTCGTGGCGCACCCCCAGGGCGCCTGGAGTCCCCAGCCCCGCCCTCAGTCCCAAAAACCAGGCGGAAGCACCAGAGTAACAACTGTATTTACACAACACTCGGTTATACAAGGATTAAAAAGGGGGAGGGAGGCGACGGCGGTCAGCAGGGGCCGCAGCGCTGGCCGGCGGCGAGACCCAGGATGTTGGCCTGCAAGACACGGGGCGGGGGGGACGTGAGCGCCGGGCGCGGGCCGGCCGGCCGGCCGGGGCGGGGCGGGGCTGGCACCGCACCTTGAGGAACGACTCCATCTGCTTCCCGGATATGCCTTCCACGCGCTCCAGGTCCTCCACCTGCGGACGGCAGCGTGGGCGGGGGCCGCGGGCGCGAGGACCCGCCCGCCCGCCCGCCCGCCGGGACCCCGCCCTACCTGGCTGAAGGGGCCGTGGAGCTCCCTCCAGCCCACGATGAGCTGGGCCTTCTTCTGCCCGATGCGCTGCAGGCCGCGCAGATCCCGGGCCGAGCCTTCGTTGAGGAGATGCAGGATTTTCTGGCGGCCGCGGGCCAGCAGCTCGGGGCTGATCTGCAGCTCCCAGCCGTCCTCAGCCTTCTCCTCGGGCTCCGAGGCATCCAGGGGCTCCGGCTGCAGGGCCGGGGAGGGGAGTGAGGGGCGGAGGCGGCCGCGAGGCGCTCTGGACGCCTCCCGCCCTCCTTCGCTCCCCCTCCTGCCGAGTGTTTCCCCCAAAATCCTTCCCTCTGGCCACTCTGGGCGCATTCTCATTTTACCAACTTGTAGAACCTTCCTCGGGGACCGTGAAGACCAAATGAGTTTGTTCAGCACAAACAAATCTGTCCCCCACTCCAAAAAGGAAGCAGCCCCTACCGCAGTGTCATGGGGGGGGGGGGGCTTGTGTTCTGTCCACGCGCGCACCTGCGTGGTGCTCGGGTCTCCTTTCTCTAAGTGTGCTCTTGAGTTTGCAGGGGGCAGGAGCCAGGCCCTGCACGGCCCGGCCCGGCCCGGCCCGGCCCGAGCAGCGGAGCAGGCGGTGGACAGCCTGAGGTGCCATCCCATGGGCGGGGCCAGCCAGCCAGGTGGCCTCACCACCTCCTCCCTCTGCAGCTGCAGGTGTAGCCTGAGGCCCCAGCTCTTCTCACCTTTCTCTTCCGGCCTCTCTTCTTCAGAATGTGGATTTCCGTGCTTGGGGAGGCTGCCTGCTCCTGAACTGAAAGCAGGAATTGTGAACTGGGCAGAGGGCAGACTCACTCCCCTCCACCCTCAGGTGACCTCCTGCTGTGTCCTCGAGCTTTCTTCCCCCGGATTTCAGCGTGCTCGCGGCTGGTCCCGCACTATCCTGAGTCAGGCACTGTGTGTACTCACTCCCCAGGGCGAGCAGCCGGCCCTCCCCCTCCCTGGGGGCTTAGGTGCAGGAGGAGGATGTGTGTGACAGGAGGACAGCCGCTCCAGACACCTGCCCCGTGGGATCTCGGGTATGTGGGCCATCGGAGCCCCTGGAGCCAAACTTACTCAGTTGCAGGGGCATCACCACAGCCTTTTTCAGGGGCTTTGCGACCGTGCCAGTGCGGCGGGGAAGGGGGCGGAGCAGGGTGGGGGAGTAGTTCTCCTTCTCCTTGGGGTCCACAGCCTCCTGGGCCTGCACTTTGGCCTCCAGTTCTTTCTGCTTCATCTTAAGCCTCTGTTGGGAAAGATCAGGCAGAGCTACGCCCCAGACCTACCCTGAAGGGCAGCAGGTTAGCGGGGTGGGGGTGGGGGAGTATGCAGAGCTCTGAAGCCCGTAGAGCAAGGGGCTGGCGCGCATGGGACAGCTGTTCAGGCAGAGAGCTCAGGAAACACAGCAGCTAACGTTTCTTCCTTCTAGCTGGGACTCTTCCCTCTAGCCTCCTCACGTCTGTCTCAGTTACTTTGAAAGCTCAGCCACGGTAAGGCCATTAAAGCAGAACATTCCAGCACATTCCAGTACTGAGTGCAAACTGGACTCTAGCCCAGCCTCTGAGTGGAGCCCTGTCTGAAGACCAGGCCAGGAGGAATCCTACCCCACATTCCCCAACACTGACCTTGATTTCCAAGTCCTTCTCTTCCACTGTCTTCATAAGCACCATCCTCTCTCGCCTTGGGGTGCTCAGCAGAGGGGTCCCCTGGCTCCCCTGGGAGCCCAACAGACGGTCCAAGCTCAGGAGGCGCTCCAACATGGCGGGGGTCCATGCTGCTCAGCTTCTGCAGGGGGCTGAGAGACCAAGGCTACTCCCCACCTAGTCCCGCAGCAGGAATCCCCTCCCTCGCCATCCTCCCATGTGGTGCTAACTCGCTGGGCAACCTGAGCGAGTCTACCAGGTAAGGTCCCCTCTCGGGGATGCCAGGCGACCTGAGTGCCGGCTTTTAGGGAATCTAGGACATTGCCCTGCGCCACAGGCATTCACTGTCTAATGAGGAAACTAAGAGACCAGGATAAGGTGACAGCGGGATTGAGCGCCTGTCCATTGGAGCAGTCAGAGAAGGCGTCACGGAGGAGGTCGTCTCCAGCAGGGCTTTGAAAGCCACTGAAGACCTCGGATGCCAAGTTTACCCTGTGGGCAGGAGGAAAGGCCTGTCCAAACAGGGTCCAGACACCTGCACAGGGCAGTGTCCACCGTCCATCCCTCTGCCTGGCTCTTCTCCCACCTCCTCACTACTTGTCAGTCACTCTGAGGCCCCACGTGGCTGTGCATCATCTTTCCTACACGTGGGCTGGCTCCTCTGTCCTGCTGTGCATACACAAGCACCTTAGGACAGATCAGAAGATAGGTGGGCAAACAGGTCACTGCTTCCTGGCTCTCACAAAACACACAGCTCCTTCTCCACCTTCTCTGTGCTGTCTACCTGTCGTCTTGACCAGTCATCAAGATCCAGTCGTCTCTTGGTATTTGGGAGCAGTGGTCCCAGAACCCCCAAGGATCCCCAAATCCAAAGGTCATCAGGTCCCTTTTATAAACTGGTATAGCATTTGCCTATCACTTACACATATCCTCCTGTATACTTTAAGTCATCGCGGGCTGGCTCAAACAGCCAGGACAATGGAAATGCTGTGCAGAGTTGCTACGCTGTGTTGTTTAGGGAGCGATGACAAGAAGTCTGCATGTGCAATACAGACAGTGTTTTTCCCTCAAATATCTTCCATCTGGGGGTGCAGAACTCACGGATGTTCCCATCTTACTTCCCCAGAAGGGACCCCCGAGGTGAGTCTTGGCTTGATTTGCCCCATTTCTGAGGTCCTCCCACCCTGAGTACCTGCCCGTGCATAATGCAGATGTGCGTGTGAGTTTCTCTGACTCTGTGCCTACAGCAGAGGGAGGAGCTGACAGCTGACTTGGGAAAGACAAGATCGAGAGACGCTTCTCTCCCAACTGTAATAGCCCCTGTTGAGCAGTCTTAGGACTTAACACTTCAGGAAAGTTTTATCTGAGCTCAGGGTAGAAACCTGCAGCTGGCTCCTGGGAGTCAAAGAGGCCCAAGTGGCCAGACATAGCAAGACCACTGACCAGGTGACCTGAGCATTAGTACATACTGGGTCACCAGAGGCGATCAGAACTGGGGAGCGGGCTACACACTTCAAGGGGCTGACTTGAGAGGCTTTGCTTAGACAGAGTGGAAGCAGCACAGTTAGGACAGCACCCAGCTCCTTGGAGTCCGGCCCCTCACGTGGCCTGAGCGGTCTCCAGGAGACGTCTGTCTTCCTCTGCTCCTTTGCTTTGCACTCAAACTCTGGACCTGAAAGATCAGA